CGCTTATGAATTATCTACAAAGTGGCGAGCTACCCGAAGACCAGTCCGCTGCAAAGGTGATTAAACGCAGGGCGGCACATTTCACTGTGTTAGATAACCAGCTCTACAAGCGAGCAGCCTCAATGCCCCTATTACGCTGCCTTACTCCTTACGAGGCTGAATACGCCCTGAGAAAAGTTCACGAGGGAGTATGTGGCACGCACATCGATGGCAGAACTTTGGCTCGGAAACTACTGAGGCATGGTTATTACTGGCCCACTATGGTCGAAGACGCACAGGACTATGTCAAAAAGTGCCCGACCTGCCAGTTCAATGCTGATGATATCCACATGCCAGGTATCCGAGCTCGTTCTACAGTTTATTCTAACCTAGTAACTGCCTATGAACTGAGCATAAGTACCTTCCTTGAAACAGGGGAAATGCTATCATCTCTTACGTCTCCCTGGCCTTTTGCTCAATGGGGGGTCGACCTGCTCGGTCCATTCGTCAAAGGCAAAAGAGGCTGCATTTTCCTGGTCGTTGCGGTGGATTACTTCACCAAGTGGATAGAAGCTAAACCATTATCCACGACAACAGAAAGGAAAATCGAAGAATTCTTGTTCAATTCCATATTGTGCAGGTATTCTTTAGTGACTAAGATCACAAGTAAAATATATGCAAACACAGTTTGTAGCTCAGTTCGTCCGTCTGTGTGCAGGTTCGGCATACCTAAGCGGATTATCGCCGATAATGGGCCACAGTTCCGAGCCGCAGCACTGAGATCGTTTTGTAACGACTATGGCATCGAGCTCACAATGACATCCGTGTATACTCCACAATCCAACGGGCAAGCTGAGTCCGCCAATAAAATCGTCTTGCGAGGCCTCAAGACACGCGTTTTGGCTGCGCATTCTACTTGGGTTGACGAGCTCAACAAAGTGCTTTGGTCTTGTCGTACCACACCAAGCTCGGCCACGGGTGAAACCCCTTTCAGCCTGGCCTATGGAGCTGAAGCCGTCATCCCAGTAGAGGTTGGATTGCTATCCGATCGAGCAGGCCGACATGACGATCTCAAGAATGAGCAACTTTTGAGAGAAAACCTGGACTTCGTAGAAGAGGTCAGGGAGATGTCTAGAATAAGAAACGTGGCACATCAAAACCGTGTTGCAAAATTTTACAATAAAAGGGTTCGAGCCCGCCAGTTTCAAGTTGGCGATCTGGTTCTACGCAAGGCTGGGTTAACTAACACTCATTCACACATGGGTAAGCTCGCTCCTAATTGGGAAGGTCCCTATATGGTGGTTCGGGTTAAGCGACCTGGCTCTTACGTGTTAGCAGATATACATGGGCAACAGTTACCTTACCTTTGGAATGTACAGAATCTTAGGAAGTTTTACAGTTAATGTGTGTTATATTATTTCGCTTGAGGTACTATCCATCAGTTGTAAACAAATGATATACCGAAAATACAACACAAATTCAAAGAAAAGTTCATTTTGTATTTCATCAAAGACATTTACATTGAAGGTACATGCTATGAATTCATTGATCAAATACAAAATGCAAAAACAAGGTACAAAAAAGTCAAAAGAAAAAAACCCTAAATCTAGTCATCCGTCAGATCGACGGGCATAGATGCATCAGCAGCAGCTGCAGGAGAGCGAGCTGGGGGAGACCGGGCTGCTGGTTCAGTGGCTGGTGCGCTGACGGGCGAGTTGGCCGGCAACACAGCGGGCTGAGAGTTGGGTGGGGTACTTGAAGGCTCCTGCTCAGCCACAGGAGCACCCTCTACCCAGGCGTCAAAGGAGGGTAGTCCTGCTGGATCCTCCCCGTCCTCCAGCACGGACGGTGGCTAGACGGGCACACCCTCCTCGTTCAAGTCCCACCTCAACCTCACAGTTGCGTCAGCGAGGGGAGCAAGGCTCTTACCCTGCTCGTTGAGCTCCTCCTCGTCAAAGAAGACCAGCTCGCGGATTGGAAAATCTGGGCGGTGGTGCAGCACCTTCCCACGAATCTCATTGTAGATTTCCGTGGTTACGTTTGCAGACGCCACCGCCACTGCGTCTTGGAATGCGGCTGAACCGACCAGCCACTCTGCACCTTGAGCCCGTGCCATCGCGATAGAGCGCCCGTGGGTGACTTTCAGCTCATTCAAGGCCTCTTCAGCTGCGCTCAGATTCCGGGCAGCTTCAGCGACCTGATTCCTTAACGAAGCCAGCTCGTGCAGAGTGCGGTCTCGGTCGGCCTTGGCCTTCTTCGGCCGTTCCTCAACCCGGACGGTTTCCTCCTTGGCCGCCTGAATCCTGCTTTCCTTTTCAGCCCGTGCTCGATCTAGCTCCTCCCTGAGCTCGTTATTCCTGCCGGCGAGCTCGTCTGCTCGGCTCTCTGCGGCAGTAGCTCGGTTCGCCATTTCAGAACCTTGTAGACGATTCACATCGTCCACAAGGCTAGCCTTCTCGATGGCCAGCTCTTTACACTTGGCACCGAGCTCGGTGTTCTCTGTCCGAGCCGCCTGCTCGCTCTCGTACAGTGCCACCGCGTAATTGAACGCCTGTCAAACAGTTGTCACTGTCAGTCTCTAGAAAGAAAAAGTAAAATGTTCAAGCAGGTACGAGCAGGTACTTACATCCATCAACTTGATCATGGCGACCTGACCGCCATGCTGTTGCACAAAGGCTTTGGCCCGCTTATTGTCAGAAGGGGGCACAAAACTGTGCATGGCTTGCACCATGGCAGGCTGCAATTCTGCCCGCACATAAGTGAAGCCCTCAGGATAAGCAATCCTGGGGCCCATCGAGGTAGATGCAGTGGCGGGCTCCACTGCTGCCCGCACAGTCGCTGACGGTGCGTTGGGCGAATGCACCGTTGTAGGGCGAGCTGCCTGTGCGGGCTGAGTCCCCCCACTTCTTATGCGCCTAGCAAGGGGGACCTCGTCCTCCTCGCTCTCTGTCTCCTCCCGTGCACGTCTGCATGCACTCGGGGCCG